GGCCGAGCCCTTCCGCGGAGCCCCGGGGCCCCCGGCCGCCCTCGCCGGCGAGATGTGACACGTCGGGAAGACGGATATGGCCTTGAGCGCGGCTCCTGAGCGAAGAAACCTCCTGAAAAGTGGTGCAGCCCCACATGGGGTTGTCCTGCCGTGACCCCCCGGCGCAGCCCTGCGCGTCCCCGTAGCCGGCGCAGCTCAGATTTACAGCAGCTGGTGCCTCTACACGGCCCCTGTTAATTAATTTGGGAGGGGTTTATCCGGCTTGGACACATGTGAGCACAAGAAAATGCTGTCTGGAGAGGGGCTGGCAGCCAGCCATCCCGCGGCTAGCAAGGGCGGAGGTGCTGCACGCCAGCGAACACGCCGGGATAGATGCTCATGAAGAAACTGAGCCTGATACGCTGGTGGGAAAGTGTCAGCAACCCCCTATTAACGGCATGCTTAAAACACAGCTACGAGCAGCAGCATGATTCAATTTGGCTGCACGAGGTGCCGGGCTGGGTCTCCACCCGGAGCGGCTCAGCATCCCCTGCGCGTGCCCGGGGAGAAGCACCACCGAAAGGTGCTCACGCGCTGCCGTTATCGCCCTGGTTGGGAACGCTTGCGACGAGCCGCCCAAGAGAGGCTTCTCCTGAGGCCGCTTTGCTTCTTTTCCCTGCCACTGATGCTGCCGGCGTGTTTCCCTATCTCTATTCTGGCCTGCTCATGGCAGAGATAATGAAACCAGCTGGGGCAGCTCCACTTTTTGGACTCGAGTTGTATTTTTGCACACAGCCATGGAAATCAGGAGAAATTCCCCCGCAGTCAGGAGTTGCAGCCATGGGTCATGGGGAAATCTGCTTGGTTTCACGCCCCTGTCCCTCCCAGAGTGGGGAGAAATCATTGATTTCTCCAGCTCTCCAGCCAAAACGGTCTGCATTTTCTTTGTTTTAGATAGGGCTGCAGTTCACTTAGGACCAAGATGTCCTTTCATAGCTGAAAATTGAAATATGTCACTGTCAAGAGGTCAAAAACTTTTGACTCCTTTAGATATTTATTTCTGTTCTGTTTCAGCAGGGAGAAGAAAAAAAAACACTGATGAATTTGATGCAAAGTGCTTTAGCTTTGATTTGCAAATCTAAAGCCTGGTTTCTCTCTGGTGCGTTGTCCTGGGACACAGGGCACAGGGGGTCACTGCCCGCCAGTCACCCTCCGAGCAGCATGGCACGGCGCCAGCCTGGATGCTGGCCAGGCGGCCTGGCAGATGTTTCCAGCCCGAAATATGTGTGCGGATGCCCATTGCCCAGCTGCGGCTCCCCAAAAGCCCATGGAGCCCAGGCTGCCGGCAGGCCAGGCTTGCCGTCCTGGGGCCGGCCCTGCTCGATGTTACTCTCTGCGGCTTCCACCTCTCCGCTGTTTCTAGCTGCAGATGAAGAGCTCCACTTGATGGCAAATGGTTTCAGGAAAGACAGGTTTGGTAGCCTACATTTTACGGAGAGGGGAAACTGAGGCACGGGGGGCATCCCATGCACCCAGCTCAGCCCCCTGGGTGGTACTAAAACAAGCATCTCCCTACGTCGCCCTGCTCAAGCCAAGGCTGAGATGGTCCTTGCGCAAGGATGGGATAGGAAACAGCGAGCCGGCAATAAGCCTGGCGTTAAACCCCGCAGCCAGGCTGGGGCATCATGTCCTTGCAACAGGTCTTTCTCCCCACCCGAGATGCCAAGCCCATTGCAGCAGGGCCTGACTGCAGCAGGCTGGAAATTCAGTGCTTCCTCCCCCAAAAGCACCCCCTGGGGACGACAGGGCTGTCCTCTGGTGCTCTTCATGCAAGAGGGGCTTCTCTTTGGCTTAATGCCTGCTGGCAGGGTTGGAGGTGGGAAATCCAGATCCCACCTCAGACAGCATGTGAATGTGAACTCCCCAGACAGACTGCTGGGAAGTGACGGAGGAGAAAGTGTGCGGGAGGTGAGAAGCAAGCAGGAAAGAGAAGAAAGCAAGGCAGAGCCTGGGCAGGCAAGGTGTGAGCTCCTGGGAAGGAGGAGAGAGGGAAGACACTGAGTGCACAGGCTGGAAGAGACACGATGCTGCAAGCAAAGCTGGTGCCCCTGGGACGACTCCTGCACCCAGGCAGTGGGCCGAATCAGTGAATAAGCACCAGAAAAAGCAGGATCCCATCCCCAATATCTCCTCCTCCAGCTTTTGGCTGGCTGGGGAGATGGAAAGAGGCAATGATGCTGCCAGTGATGGGGTTCAGATTTAGGGGGAGAAATCTTGGCACAGCACTGTTGAACAGTGCAACTCCATGCTGCAGGCTGCCATGGGGCCTAGAAGATTATGTGGCTGCAAAAAGCAACTGGACATATTCCTTGAAGAAAAGCCTGTGGAGGGTTATTCCATGCAGACACCATCACTGGAGGTGGAGTCTGGCAGAGGAGCTGCCGCCGGACGGGTGCCTTGCTCCTGCACTCTTCCCAGGACGTGGTGAGCGGCCAGCGCAGGAGGCACGACTTGGGCTAGCCGGGCCTTTGGGCTGCCCACGTAGAGCCACTTTTCTGCTCGCAGGGGAGATACAGCTGCGGCACTGTGCCCCTGCTGCCTGCGCTTAGGGGCGGCGGGCGAGAAGGGGGCTCGGGGCTGCCGGGTGCTCAGACGGCGCAGCGGAGCTGGCAGCATCGCCGTTGGAGGGCCGCGTGCGTGCGGGAATGCCGCCCGGCCCGTTCTGCTGCAATTGGATCAGGCGTTCCCGGAGAGCCAGAAAATCCACCCTCAGCTCCCTAATTGGGCTTGGACAGGGACGGCAACCGGGAACGTCCAAAACGAACTAACCTCCAGTGTCAGGTGCTGGGGAGCCCAGTTACGCAGCCCGTAGCTCGTCCTTGCAGTTTCCCAGTGGCTGGGACAAATCCCAGATACACCAGGGAGCGCCTGGCCCCAGCCTCTTGCAGCCACCGGTCTCCGTGTGTCTGGAGAGGACCTGATGCGCTAAACCGCACTAACAGAGCTCACCGGTGGCAGAGGGCGGCCACGACGGCCCGGTGGGCTGCTGAGGCCCATCTCCATACGTGCACCCTCTTGTCTGCGCCCAGCTGGGCCACCCAGCCCCGAAAATAAGGTGGGAATCAGGGAGAGGGACTGCCCCGAGCACTCGTGGCACCAGGCCCGTCTCCCACAAGCGTGTTTTGTCCCGTCTCCCGCAGATGTGGAGAAGACATCTGTTCTTCTGTCTTCGTTCTTCACAGCAAACACTGATGTCTTTGACAAGATTTTTTTCGAGGTGCTGGGCTTGTCATGCAGGGTGCTAGCCTTGTTTTGGGGGTGCAGAGGGGATCTG